GACATTCCATTGGGATTTAGACAGTTACCAGTTGGCTCCCATTAACAGGATTAGGTAACTCCCCAAACCAAAACAAACCTCTGTACTTTTACTCCCTGGAGTTCTGTGTTTTTTGCCAGCTTGTGTACCCGCTTCAGCCCTGTATCTGACTGTAGTATTAATAATGCCAAAAACTTACTATATTTACAGACATCATTTATGCAGCACAAGACTGTGTGCAGAGTGTCGTCTTCACTTTTACAGCCTAAGAAATTGAGACTCCAGTGTTTGATACCCAGGACCACACATACCAATACTGTAAAATGCATACAAAGGTGCTGGCGCAGGGTACTTATGCAGTGAATATCAGCCAGCCTTGTTTGAAGCCTACTTCTCTCTACTCTAATCATAGCCCTGACCCACCTCTTTCTCCAACAGCTGTGGTGTACTAAGTTTGGACAAAACCCCTACACATGCAATGTAATTATTTCTGGTGACAAAATCCTCATTTAAATACAAGCTTGTTTAAAACTTACTCTGGCTGCTATCTAGTTTATCACTAGTTACATTAAATACAGCCCTTGGGGAGACCCGAGTGACTTCATATGTATTTATGACAAGCTTTTTAATGTCTTTGAAATCAGTATCTTAAAACCGGATTTAATCAAATATGGTTAACAAACTGTTTTTACTTGTGTCCTGGGCTAGATAGTTGATATACATTTTAGTACTTAATCCTCCAAATATCTACCTGTTAATATCATCATCATTAATGTTATAATCTGCAACCATGCACATTTTAAAGAAGGGGAAGTCAAGGCACAGGACGCTAAGTCATTTGCCCCAGGTCACATAACTAGGTGGCGGACATTGAGAGCAACCCTAAAGCAAACAGTACCTTATGATCCAATTTCAGTAAACTCAGCCAAAGGACACAGTTTTATTTTATGGGGGAAAAAAGGTGCCAATTTCAAATATAAAAGGGTAAATTCAAATAACAATCAGAAAGAAACAGAGGCTCAGCAAGGTTAAACAAAGGATTATCAGAACCAGGATCCCAAGGCCAATCTGTCTCGGTTTCAAAGCACCATCTATTTTCTATTTCTACCAAGCCACACTACCAACTGACATGTGATAGGGGGCAGTATAAATATTTGTTGAATTCATGCCTGGAAACAAAGTTGACAGGGAAAGAGTGTAAAAATGTAACAGGGCAATAACGGAAAACTAGTTCACCGGCAGGAAAACACACACATACACACACACACACACACACACACCCCCCTAACAGTTTTTAAAGCAGAGCATTCGAGATGAGCCAAGGTGGTGAAACAAACTTTGCGCGGGTCCCGCCGGACACCCCCGGCTGGCGGGTGCGGTCTTCAAAGGCGATGCTTCGCGAGCAAGCGGCCTTAGAGCCCAGGGGCCAAAGCGGCCGCCTCCGGCTTCCTCCCGCGCCCACGCCCTCTCGCGATCGCGAGTCACCCGGAGGGGCAGCACCCGACGACGACCGGGGGCCAGCCGCCTTACTCCTCCGGGGTGCTGGCTCAAAAAGAAACAAGCACAGATCCCCAGACGGTCCGCGGCCTCTGCTCCGGTCCGGGGCCGCCGCTCGCCGCTCGCCGCTCGCCGCTCGCCGCCCGCCGCCCGCGGTCCGCTCCGCAGCCATGCGCCGGAGAGGGGGACCACCTCCAAGTCGCAGGTCGCCGTCGGGAAGCACCGGACCCCCGCAGCGAAGGTACCCGCAGTCCCAGCCCGGACCCGGGCAGGCCCCTGGAAGGGCTGAAAGGTGAGCGGCCGTCCCCAGGCCGCGCGGGCGAGCCGTATCCGAGAGCTGCGGGTACCAGCGGCCAGACCGAGGCCGGGCTCGAGCGCCCGACCGCGACCTGCCGGAGAGCACGGGCCAGCGCCGCGCCGCGCCGCGAGCCGCCGCCGCCGCCGCCGCCGCGCCGTCCCCGCCGCGCCCTCCGGCCGCGGGGCCTCCGGCGGCTGGGCCCGGCGCGGGCCGCGAGAGGCGGGGCCGGCGTGCGGGCGGCGGAAGGAGGCGGAGGAGGAGGAAGAGGAGGAGGAGGCGGTGGCCGGGAGCCGGGGGAGAGGGGCGGGGGGTGGGCCGGGGAAGGGGAGGAGCGGGATTTCAGGAGCGCGGCGCCGCAGCCGGGAGCCGGCGGGCCCGAGAGTGACCGAGTCACGGCGGGCGCCGGCGGAGCCGTGGCGTCGGACCCGCCTCCTGGAGGAGCTCAGCCCCGGCCAGGCCCGGCCCCATTCCCGCCCCGCGCCGCCTCCCCGCCGCCGCCGCCGCCGCCGCCGCGGGAGCGCTCTCCAGCCCACCCCGCCCCCGCGGCCGAGCCCGGGAGTCGAGTGGGAGTCGGCCGGCCGGCGCGGGCAGCGCCGGGACCCCGCGGGGGACACTGCAGCCGGAGCCCGGGAGGGGCCGCGCCGCCACCGTCTGAACTAGGATGTCCCGACATGAAGGTGAGAGCAGCCCCCACCCCCACCGCCCGGGCCTTGGCCTACCCCTCTTGGGCCTGGGGCCGCGGAGGGCGGCGGGAGGCGGCGGAGACTTCGGCCGGGCCCGAGCCGCCCCGAAACGCCGGGCCCGGTAGCGAGCGAGGATCGGCGGAGAGCCGCGGCGCCGCCACTGCAGCCGCGGCCCTGAGCGGGGCCTGGTGCCGGAGGCGGGGCGGCCGGGCCGGCCAGAGGGTTTGCACTGTCATGGGGAGGGGGAGGGGAGGCGGCGGGGCCCGTTACCGGCGGGAGCTTGGCCCTTGGGACTGACTGATACCGGACGCTGCGGCCCGCTCGGCCGATCCCGGGGCTGTGGGCCCCGGCGCGGCCTAGTGCGCCTGCCACCCCGGAAGGGCCCGGCGCGGCCGCCGAGCGGGGCCCCAGGCGGAGGCAGGAGACCGAGGAGCCGGCCCGGGATCGGCGGGCGCGTCCAGTGGCCTGGAGATGACGGCGAGTGGCTCTGCCTGCGGGAGACTGCGGGGCAGGCGGGAAGACTCGGCGGCCGGGGAACGGGAAGCCCCCTCCGCCCGGCCTCGCGGCTAGGCCTCAGCGCGTCCCTGGGCTCGGGTAACCAAGTTCCCGGGGCGGATCCGGCCGGGCCGCGGCGAGCAAACTCCCTGCTCCGTCACCTGGTCGGAGCGAACTCGCTCCTGGCTGGCCGCGGGCCCCTCGGCCGGCGTGCACCATCTACCTAAACCAGGTTTTGGTAAACGACCGTGATGAAGTCTGTTAATGGTCAGGGGGCGTTTTGGACTTGCTATTTGAAATTTAAAAACATGACTGGGGTACAGTTGCAAGCAAGTAGACAGCTCTAGCCCAGTCCCAGGGCACAAAGAGAAAAATGTTCAAGGCCGATGTATAGGCGTTGAGCTGGTAAAAAAAATAAGTTAACTTGAGTTTACTGCCATATGGTTTAGAAAAGGGGGAGGGGGTTGTGTTTTCTTTGTTTCACTGCCACAGATCTTTAAATAAAAAGTATTAAGAGACTTGGTGAAAACTTTATCATGGTAAGGTTAATGCAAGGTTGTATAAGTGGCTTGAAAGTACTGTGTACTCTTGATTTTAAAATCCTGGATAGGTGATGGAGGAGTGGAGAAAGTTTAGTGAGTCAGATTAGTGTGTGCTTCACACCGGTTGGAAGGCTATTCTTAGGGAAATAACAGACTTTAGAATTTTGGGGCTGAGGAACTGAGATTGATTACAATGGTATTTTGAGCAAATTTCACAGTTTGCATAACTAATTGCAGTGTTGAAATTCACTCAAAATATTTTGTGTTCAAGGTATTCTCTATTTTGAAAGTCACAAAATGAATAGGAAGTATATGACCTTTTTTCACTTACTGTGTCCAGCTGTGGAGATTTTGGAATAATGTATACAAAAATATTTTGAAACAATACCTAATTTTACATTTTTTCTGCTTCATGGAAATATATATATTCCCTGCCTCTAACTTAAAATAAATTGTAATTAAAGTTCTAATTAAATTTTAACTTGGGATATTCAGATTTATTCTAGACTATAATAGTGTGTACATTGACCACCTTCAAGGCAAAATTAACGTTAGCAATGGCTACAAGCTGTCCTACTCATAAGAACTGGGAAAGTCAAAATTACAGTATTGTAGCAATAGAAGAAAAAATGTTTGAGACCCATTCCCTTTGCTTTAAGAAAACATCAGATAGTTCCAGACTGTATTCTAATTGAACGGTATCCTGGAAGATTCCTTTATCCCTGTAATCTTTTAGAACAGCGATTTTCAACTGGTGTGCAGCAAGAATTTTTAAAACATGCAATACCTGACTATTTAGTCAAGGGCACTGACCTCTCTTCCCTTAGACTGTCAAATTAAAAAATGACAACAGCTAACACAACAATAGCCATCTGGTGTGAGTGAATCAAAATTATACCTCTTTCTTTTGTCAGATTGACAAATACACCTCTTTCTTTTGTCAGGTTGACAAACAGTATATTTTTTAGTGTGCCGCAGAATTTCAGTAATTAGTTTATGTGCTCTATGAGATGAAAAAGGTTGAAAATCACTGTTTCAAAGTCATAAAAATCCCACAGTGCCAGTATTGTTGAATGTAATCTAAGTCCATTTTCCTCTTCTTGGTCCTGTGGAAAAGCCTGTGGCTTTGAAACTTAACATTACTTTTTAGTTACTTTAATATTACTGAACTTTAGGACATTAATGACTTATATAATGCCAGATGTTTCTGAAAAAGGAACATTCCCACCATCCATCAGTTGAAGACTTGTAGTACAATATTTAACAAGTGATTATCTTTTAAGGGTCTAGTTTAGGGCCTAAGACAGGAATGGCAGTCTCATTAAGAATCATATTTAATTCATTAGATGTTTTGTGGAATATTAGTTAGGCTGCCATTATTTTCATTAGCAAGAATTAAACCTATCAACAAATACATAGTTTGACACTCTCACTATTCTAGTTCTTTATTCATCTTTCTCTCCTTTGTGCGAAATAATCCCATTTCTTTTAGCATTTCTTTAGTGGGGTTCATCTGTCCACCATCAAATTCTCTGTAGTTCTTGTTTCCTTTCGGTAGTGTGACCCAGAACTGGATGTGGTAGTCTGGTGAGAGATCTGAACTGTGCAGGTACAGTATTGTGCTTGCCTTGTGCTTCCTTTTCAGTGGCTTCTCTATGCGTATAATTTGTTACTTTGTTTTTGTGCCCACCCTAATGAGTTGTACTATATTATGTATATGTAACGATATAACTTTGGACAACACAGTGCCAAGATGGACATTTACCAAGCTCTGTAAGTATTGTGTACTCTTGATTTTAAAATCTGTATAGGTGATGTAGGAGAGGGGAAAGTTTAGTGAGTCAGATTAGTTTGTGCTTCATACCCATTGGAACAATATTCTTCGGGAAATACAGGCCTTAGAATTTTGAGGTTACCAAGCTTAGAGTCTCTACTTTGTGAAGCAGTGGAAGACCTCTGAGAAAGGAGATGCAGCCAGGAGCACAGAGAGTGCTTTAGCTCGGGGGTCAGCATACTTCTGTAAAGGGGCAAGGTAGTGAATATTGTGGCTTGGTGAGCTATGAGGTCAGCTCTACTGTTATAATGTAAAAGCAGTTATGGACAACATGTAAATGAGTGAGCATGACCATGTTCCAATTAAAGCTTTTATTTATAGACACTAATATTTGAATTCCATGCAATTTTCATGTGTCATGAAATGTGACTCTTAGGTTTACCATTTAGAAATGTAAAAACCATTCTCAGCCCCTGGACTGTGCAAACAGAGTGTGGCTGAATTTGGCCCTGTTTGGCCCAGAACTATAATTTATTTTCCTTCTTTTGCTCTAGACTAGAGCCTTAGAGAGTGGATGGAAATGGAATTGTTAGGAGTCCAGAAAGGGTCGACTTCATTATTAGTGAGTCCATGGACTAAACCAGTTCTGTACCTCAGTTTCCAGCAGCACCATGTAGATTGGGACAGAAGTAATTGTTTCCAAGGGCGGAAACCAAGCTCCGCACCTTTCCAAAGTCAATCTGAGTGGGAATGGCAGCACTCTGCATCGTCTCCTGCTTACCCGCTATAACTTTCCCCACCAGAATTCCAGGGTCTCTTATAATTCAGCGGGTAATGTTGTTCTGTTAATAAACATTTTACATTACTGCCCAATTACTTCATGTTTACCATACTAATACCATGTTACACATAGTGAAACCAGTTATTTCTATTTTAATTGTAAGAGTATTTTTTAATGTTTCACTAAACACTTAATGTTAAATGTTTCTTTTTTTCTTTTAAGATTTTATATATTCATTTTTACAGATGAGGAGGGAGGAAGAGAGGAAGAAAGGGAGAGAAACATTGACTTGGTTTCCTTTTGCATGCCCCCAACTGGAGCTCTGGCCCGCCATCCAGGCATGTGCCTTGACTGGGAATTGAACCTCTGACCTTTTGGTTCCTAGGCTAATGCTCAGTCCACTGAGCCACACCAGCCAGGAGTACGTACTTTCTTTTAAATACTTTTAAAGTGTTATTCAGAGCTCAAAAACCATTTAATAGCTTTGCAGATTTTAATGAAACACACCAAATTACCCAGTGCTTATTAGCTAAAATAAAGTTATGGATGTTCTTGGATGAGTTGAAACCTAAATGACTACCCAGAGTTATGGATACATTAATTGCTTTAAATCATTCAGCTTTTTTTCAGTTGCTACTATGAAGTAGGCACATGCTAGATACTAAGGAATGTGAAGATAAATGAGACACAGCCTCTTACCTTAACTACAGCTTCTATAGTACAGTGTTAAATATGCCATCAGGAAGGGATAAACAAATTGAGGGCAATAATTACCAACTCTTTTCTTAGTACTTCTGCCCGGTTTAAGAGAGAATCTATTGTGATTTCTAACGCTTTTTTCTTGACAGCCTTCTTCACTTTTTGTGGGCTACTCTTAATTTTGGATAAAATTATTTGAGTCTTCAGATAGAGCCCTTTTCTTTACCTGATCTCTATTTTCCATAGCTATTTGAAGATTTTCATATATACAAATGATAGTGAATAAATGGACAGGTGATCATGTTTTGTTAATCTCAAAAGCATCTGATACTGTTTATTTAAAACATTTAAAGTACATGAGTAGGCAGGCCATTAATCTAGTTTTTGAAAGTTGTACCATTTTTTGAAATCGTACCACTCTTCTGTTAGTAGATTTAAATTTTCTGCCTGACACTAAAAACATACATACAAACAGTCCCAGAGTGAATTGCAATAATTTTGCTTTCAGGATTTGGTGATTGCAAAAACAAGATTGGTAATTAGAATGTGATTTTAATGTGACTTTTACCTTCCTGTAGCAAAGTAAATAAACTCTCGCCAAAAAGATCTTTACAATGTCAGTTTATTTTACTTTAACTGTGATCTATTAAAAGATTATGACATTCTTACCAACACTTTTTCAGTTTTAATAAATGAATTACATTTGCCTTGACTTTCAATAAAGGAAAGATGAGAGTAAACAATTATAAGTAAACATTTTAATTTCTGGGGTCTTTGATTTCATTATTTCGTATAAAGTTGATTTTGAAGCCCATTTTTCCCATGTTGATATTTGTATTTAAGTTAATGTAATAAAGTAAACTTTACTCTTATTTATCTATTTTTTAAGAATTTTAATTATCTATTTTTAGAGAGAAGGGAAGGGAGAGAGAAAGAGAGAGGGAAAGAAACATCAGTGTATGAGAAAAACATTGATTGGCTGCCTCTCACAGGCCCCCAACCGGAGGCCTGGCCCACAACCCAGGCATGTGCCCTGGCTGGGAACCGGCAGCCTTCCGGTTTGTAGGCTGGCGCTCAACCCACTGAGCCACACCAGCCAGGACAAACTTGACTCTTTTTTAAATTGGAGATTTAATTTGGAAGAAATTCCTTTTAGTTTTAAACTCTTGAGATGTATCAGCAGCAAACTTGTTTAAATATTAAAAACTTTTTCACAGTAGAAACTTATGATGTAAAATTACCGAACAAATCCCTTCATATTAAGCTTGCAATGTTTAAAAAAATAAATCCATACACTTATGAATCATAATTTTCAAAACATCAGCTTTATAACATCTACTATATACATTTGCTGAGGTTTGGTGTTTTTTTGTTTTTTAACTGGAGGTTCCAAAAGTTGTTCTTAGTGAAGGTTAAGGCATCATTGGATTACAAATAAGTGTTTTTTATTACATGATAAATACTGCCTTTGGGTTACTGGCATGAATATGGACTCAAAGGAAACATTTCCTACAATTCATATGCATAAAAGTGGAATGCTCTTCATAATTAAAATTTTGGTTTATAAAGATTAATTTCATGTGCTAGGTGCCTTGATGTTTTTTTATTTCCTTAAAATTATGAGGTATGGTTTTTTTTTTCCCACTCACTGAAGTCACTAATTCAAGTTGAGGAAAGAGCTCCTTAAGTGGTATACAGATCAGAGCATTTTAAAAATACGGTAATTTCAAAAACATTACCTATGTCTTGATTCCTGTGGAAGAAAAAGGGATAAGGCAGACAGTTTCCTAAAGGAACATACTACCTATTATCTAGATTCCATGATAAGGAAAGAATTGGTGAAGAAAAGAGGGTGTTCTTGGGATGGTAAGGACAAGGGGCCTGGAGGATGGGGGCAGAGAAAGTCAGGCAAGGTGGACATGAACCTTGAAAACGGTCTGTAGCCTCTGACTCTGTGGCTCTCGGGTACCCAACCAGAAGGTGAAAAACTCAGCGTCCTGTGACACTGACAAGAGATGAATTGCCTGTTAAAGGAAACTTACATGGTGCCATCCCTACTACCCATCTCACGCTCTCCTGATGTACCAGTTTATTGTGTTTTTTGTTGTCTTTTTGAATAGTCACAAAGCAGAGTGTGGATCCATCTAGTTCATGTCCTTGGTCAATTTTTCTCTTTCATGGCCACTGTCCCAACTAGCAGCCTGGCAGACTTTCGCCGGTAGCCGCAAGGCGTGTCAGGGAGGAAGTATGGACGGCTCCTGCAAATCCAGCACTGCTGGTAGAAAAAGCCAACTGAAATCACAAGAGTGGGTCAGTCTAGTCATCTTCACTAAGAAGGACAGACAGGAATGGGTCAACTTGATATTATGACTAATTTGGTTTGCACATGATCTTCTGAATTGTGTGTGGTTTTTTTCTCTCTTGATATGTACTCAGTGCCAGTTTCATGAACTTCAACTTTTTCCAGAGTAAGAGAATTTTCATTACAAGAGTCACTTTAGAGTACTAGCTTGATGTGTTGACTATTAGAACAGTCACAGGCATACTCAGCTAATTTATTTTTTCATCTTGACCTTTTTCCCCTCATTGTTCTAAGACTGTCACCCTCCTCTCCCACCTAGCAAAGGGTTCATCCAGTGGCACCCCTGCCTTATGCTCCAGGCATTTTTTTTATGCTGTAATTGTTTGTCTGTCTGCTTCCCCCACAAGCTACCTGAGAGGTAGGTATAGTTTTACACTTACCTTTATACCCTACCACCTAGCATATTTCTGTCCACTGAATTTGTGGGTGATTGTTAGAGATGGTAATACTTCTCTAAAAAGTGATGAGACTAGAAAATGCTTCTATGTTTTTATTGGGGGAAGCTGTATAAGAGGGGGAGAAATTGTGGGAGAGAAGGCTTGGAAGTTTTGTAAAAGTAAGAGGAGATGAATAAACGACATAGAGCGAAAATAACTTCAGGGAGGTGGCTCCTGGGGGAATGGCCTGGGACTAGACTTGGGGTGCTGTTTTGTTCTATCTCCTCCTGGCTCTGGTTTCAGATTAACTAGCTGTGGGTTCTGCATGTTAATTGCACTATGCGTGTGAGTGCTCTGGTTCATTCAGGCATTCTCTCAGTGAATCTTTATGGACTGCCTTTTGAGTGCCATTCGGAGTCATCTCCAGGCTTGCCACAAGTTGTTGACCCTGCTGCAGGGTGATAACATTCAGTGGGGGTGAAACACATGTTTGGGAATTAAATGCTTTCCTGTTGCATGGGCTGTGGCTTCTTTCCAGTGTGCTGGAATTAGTCCTTAAAGTTTATATTTTATGACAGGATAATTAAATTGTGTGAGTATTGTAACCTTTTGGCAATATTCGCAACTCCCTCCTTTTTTAAAAGCTTATTTTCATTTTAAGTTTCACAGTTACTTCTAATTCTGCCCAGCAGTACATTTCTTTCCCTAACAATATTGTCCCTAGACTATGGAAATCTCAACACACATCTATCTGGATGTATTAAAATGTGTTCAAATAAGTTATTCCTCCTAGGTTTGCATTTTTTTGATGCTTGCAGAGAGAAGAGCTCAAATGATTAAATGTTTAATTTTTCTCTTCAGTATAGTTTTTTACAAAGTTTTAATGGTTATATAGCAACTGTTAGAGTAACTAGATCCTACATCTGTTCTTTTTCAACCAGTATCAGTGTTCTCCTTTGGCATCCTCTGTGGTTTTAGAAGTTAGGCAGCACAAATCAGTGTGGAGCTTTCTGAACTTGTAGTTAAGGACATTAAAGGAAAACAGGCAGGGATTACAGGAATTATTACAGATTTTTCCCTTCTTTTCTCTAAGAATGAAATAGCATGCTGGGAACTGGGGGGTGGTTGGGGTCAGGGAATCTGGTAGCTTTTATCATTAGAGATCTTATGCTCAGTGTTATGAACACTTCTAGGGATTCTGATATGTTTAATTGCCATTTGAAATGAATGTTAAGTGTGCAGTGTGTTTGTATAGCTATAGATATGTATATATGGAGTGGTCGCAGAGGTAGAACTAATCTTCCCTTCCCTAGGAAGTACGGTGATTACAACATCAAGTGACAGTGGATGGGCACTTGACCTGTGATACTCCTACATTAGACCAAGATCAGGGATCTTCACTCCGTGTCAGAAATACTACATATCTTCAAGTTCATTCATTGCTCCATAACATTTTCTACAAGCTTTTTAGAAATCACCCAAAGGAGGAGGAGATAGCAAACATATTTGCAGAATTGGAGTAGACTATCACTTTCCAATAGAAACCTAGTGCAAGCCACATGTAATTTTAATTATCTGGTAGCCACACTAACAACTAAGAAAGTACAGTTAATATTAATAATTTAACCCAGTATATCCAAAATAACATTTCCACAGGTAATCAACGTAAAATTTGTTGAGATATTTTTATATTCTTTATTCCTTACAAAGTTATAAAAATTTGATACATATTTACACTTAGCACATTTTAATTCAGATGCTAAATTTTCACCAAAAATACTTGTTTTCTTTTCAGTTATAGTTGACATTCAATATTACATTTGTTTCAGGTTATAGCATAGTGGTTAGACATTTATAGAACTTACAGAATGATTCCCCAGATAAATCTAGAACCCACATGGCACCATAAATAGTTATTATAATACTATTTACTATGTTCTTTATGCGTGTCAAAATAGTAACTGCCAAGTTGTGCTTCTTCAT